AGTTATAAGCTTGAAAGCTACCCTACATAACCTGGGGTGTGTCTGTTCGCTCGCAGGATTATAGCGCCTGGTATCCAAATTCAAACACCTTGATGCGGTTCGCCTGCCAGCAGTACCCATGCAGCTGGAAAATCACAAATGTCTGAAGCACAATTGTCTGAGGGTCAATGACTTGCACCATGTCAATTGAAACGCAAGTTTAAAGGAAGACCACCCAAGTTGAATTCTACAGTTAGCAAGAATGCCCAATATTCCACACATTGCCTGTCACAGTTGACTAGGTCTGCAAGTCATGGCATCGTTAATCCTTATATTCGCTGGTATCATAGCCGCTAAATGCTATCCGGGGGACTAAGTTGCTACTTGTGGTACGCCTTCAGCTCAGTGAAATTGCTTACGCAAAGGAGGATTGTCAGTGGTCATGGTAGAATGAAAATCTAAGCACTGAGGTGCTCGCCTCCGGTATAGTGAAAATGAATGCTTGCGGCGTCAAATACACTAATTCATTAACTACTCCCTTTCCCTGTCATTGAGATAAACAGTCGAAAATTGCATGCACCGTCCTGGAAGCCAATCGCTCTAAGTGATAAGTCAACTAGCCTTCTACTATGAGATAAGAAATGCCCAGGTTCGTCGATAGGTGTGAATGCTTGCAAAGGTAGCTGTGAGGTGTTACCCTTGCCTCTGCACGTTCATAACACGTATGACAAGGGAGGATGAGTCGCGTTATTTCACAGTTAGAAGTTAGTTACGGCGGACCGCAGACGCCACTGTGGTTCAACGGCCTAAGTCGTTGATTCATAAGAGAAAGATTCTGGGCTCGCATCCGAGAGTATCCGGTAGGTGCGTGCTACTGATGAGTCCCAATAGAACGAAAGGACCGTCTAACGCTTTTCCGTATGCGATGAATCAGTTCAAAACCACAATAAGTTCCCTTACTAATCACTAATTGGGAAAGCTATGTTTAGCTTAATGTTCGGACTTTTAAATTAGTAAATAAATAAAGTAATGTTATTTCTCGACGGTGTGAGAGGCTGTTCCCGTTTAGGGACAAATCAAAAAGTACACGGTTGTGTTTCACAAGTGCTGTCATGCAACACAGGATTGGAAGAAATGCACTCCGCCATGTGGAGTTCGCATTATGCAGGTTGAACTATATGTTGAACTATGTAGCAAGCTTATATCAATATCACACGTTCACTGTTGACTGATGGTAGTAGTTGATTATGCTTAGGAGAAATGCCGGGGAGTGTTTCCTCATATTCATGTTAAATTCATCCTTAGGTCTGCTTTCTTCACTCGCCACTTTGGCTTTGGTCCTGTTGATGAAAATACACATATTCCAGCGCTGGATTCTGGCACCATTCTGCACAAGATTAAACTAGACGGTACAATTTTTCTATCCCGTACCAATCGAAGTAACTTGCTTTCACAAGACATAACAACTTGTGGTAAACAACCATGATGTTCCACCTATTTCGAATACCATATATCCAGACTGAGATACCCCTATCATGAATATGATGTTTTGCACAACGAGATGCATCTTGACAGACACCCTAATGTTATATACTTTGGTGTACTTTATTCAAAAACTTGTAGTATGCAGTAAGAAAGAAACCTTCTGGCATTTGTGTCTTCGTCCTTGTAATCATGACCTCAATTTCCTTATGGGATATTTGTTATACTACATCATACACAGATTTACCCCTGCTGTTTGAGCACAGTTATGCATGATTTTGAATAGAAAACACAGATTTACTTTCATTCTTTGAAAACAAGGAAAGTACACGGCGCAATGTAAGCTCTGTGGAATATCCAGTTATTCTTTTGGTAACTCGGCGTTGAATTCGTTCAACAACCATTTGCTCGGACTTACGCGTGTTTGTATACACCATTGAGCAATGTAAACTGGTTGGCAGTGCGTATGTTTTGTGCCATCGAAGGCGGGATTCAAGGAGTGAGAAGCAAGGACAAATATATCCAACGGTCTTTCGTGACTTTGATGTCCGGAAATCGCAAAGCTCTGGGAAGTTGAACGTATGTAAATATCGCAGGTCTAGATTAAGAACTGATGTGCATTCAGAGATGTTCTTACTATGCGCGATAAGACTGTTTTTAGGAATGTGACGCATTCTATGATACCGCAAATATCTACACCAAATGACATTTTCCACAAAGGACACCAAGTTTCAAATGCTGTTGAATGTTTTGAAGGCGCCGTAAAAAACGGTACATCCGTATCTTTGTGAGAATAAGTGACTTTTATGTCTTCTGCAAACAAGAAAGCAGTAGCACACTTACTACTGCTCAGAGTATCATTAACTAAACAAGAAGCAGTAAGGGACCAATGGCAGTTGTAGTACTCCCCTAGTGACTGCTTTAGTGAGTGAAAAACGATTGTGTATTCCTACCACTTGTAACCATTCATAATGTCTTTTTGTTGAACCAAAAAGTACTCAAATTCAGTTGACTCTTATTGGCTTCCTTCACAGCGTTTACAAGTTGCTTGCAAGTCACCACAATCCAGGTCTCAATCCGTACGCAGTAACGTCTCGTTCGAGGTTGTGGATCTGAGTAGGAACAGCCTATACGCGTTTGCATACTATGCTGTGAACCCCAATTGTAATGCAGTGTCACCAAATCGAAGGATTTGAAATCACCCTCTGTTGATGGGTGACACATGGTCCAGCTAGTGTGGTGATCGTCCGCTGCACTAACCTCCATCTACACAGATCCGGTGGTCGCCTATTTTGCTGCACCGGTCCGTCTCAGCAAACTGGTCCGTTTGGTTCAGGATTATCGGTGTATTCCATGTGTCAAGTAGCAAGTTTAGAAAAAAAACGCCTGGTTAACAAAGTAACACTAGGAAACGCATGGTATGAATGAGACGCCACGGTTGTCTGGATGGCCAACCCTGCTCTAAAGACTTAGAAGGACCGCCTGACGTAGCGCCACCACTGTACCACGCTCCTCCGTGAGAGTAACCCTCACGATTCAGCCAACCCTCACAGGCTACATTATGCCCCAACGTTCCGAAGCGCGGTCAGCTTGTGATACAACCATGCTATTCTCAGAAACCAGATTATGCAGTTGTCACGTTTAATGCAATGCATGTACCAAGGAGGTCGCTTTCACTGTACTAAGTCATCCAGGCATAGATTGCACTCACCTGATAACACTGAATGTGACAGTTATGAGGAAAGCGCAGCACTTATAGTTAACATTTTATAATGGATGTATGAAAGTTGCTCCTCCCTGCACCAAACTAATGTACCATAGAACTGTTTTATAAGTGTGTTAACTGTGCAGCATTCGCAAATAATTGCTTAAAGCTCCCGCTCTCCATGAAGTTGAATATAACGGCACCTGTTACCGCTGAGGCATTAGAGGGCTGTCTCTAATGACACGATATCGTAGCATCAAAACAACACGGGTTGCACAAACACTTACCTTGCGGGATCAGCTTAATTCTTGTACGAGGTGATAAAATCATAAAGGTTGATAGGAAGATCGAAGCTATTTTTGACACTGTTAAGGCCCTCAACGATTAGCATCACCGCGTCCTCTTACACAGACTCGAAAGGCATGAAGTGGAGTCCCTGTTCCTCAAGGCGGATTTCTCTCACTCCTTAGCTACAGTTGAAAGGTAGGAGCAGACTGCTGGACATGATTCCGTCCCAATAAGGCGGTGCACTATGTTCGGTGATACGACAGCGCTTATGCTATGGATTTACTGGTGATCTAGCACTTAAGATCGTATTGGATTTGCTATTTTTCAGTGGTGGACGTGACTTGCGATTGCTAACCAAAAAGAACATGGGGCACTCCAAAGAAGCCCACTGGTGTGTGTGTGTGTGTGGATGTTCATGTAGGATCTGAGTAAAGTTGATACAGATAACTGTGAGATGGCCCATATATTTTGTCGCTCAGATTGCAAGGCTTCGAGATACAGTAGTGGAACGGTTGCCTGTGACGATGAAGTTTGGAACTTGGTTGAGGACAACGTCGGCTACCATTAACAATTCCAGGTGTCGAAAATTGCCCAATCGACTCACTCATCCTCCTGCTATCATCAAAGCTATAATGAGGTCCCTTATGGAAACGCCATGTATGCCTTCCAGTACCGACAGAAGCATGGTCTTGTTACAATCAGCAATCTACAACTGGGATAGATAAGACCATGTAAGCACCTTTCCATCCACCTAGTAATCCAAGGAAATATCCTACAACAGACAATATGGGTGTTTGGCATACCAGTTTCTCGATAACGGAAGGCATATTTGCCACCGCCTCCTCAGGGACCACACGCCGAAGCTAGTCACGCAGAATGACAGTCGGACTATCACCCTAACTTAGGGTTTCAAGTACGCAACGACATTTCCCTCCCTTCCAGGGTGCTATTTGTGAAACTTCCTGCCACCAAATTTAATCATTTCGGTTTCCACCTTATCGGTACTCAAAAATCGCTTTGATGACGTACAGTATGTGTACATGGGGAGATGACGTAACGTGACCTAGTGGTGCATTCAACAGCCATCCCCCGGGGGGGTTCATTTCCCTCTAATGTTCATGTGAGCGTAGTGGTGAGACTGCCAATACGCCCGTTTATGTTTGTTCTTACATTTATCACGCTGACTAGCCTACGGGAGCAATCAGATATCTGATTGTGTCTACCTTCGGTTTCCCATTTCCAGTCAAGGGCGGGCATTAGGCTCAATTTCCTATTCCCATAGTCAACTTGCGTGCGGTACTTACGTTTTGCTGCATAAGTATTACTTCTTAATGTTGTTGCATACACATATTTTCTGTGACTGTGCAGCATCTAGCAAGGTCACCTAATTCACTAAAGCAAGCAGCATCTACTTGGCCAACAAATAATCCTATCTCCATTACAGTGATTCATCAGTATTTTGTGCGTTCAACCTATGCTACATTTGTATTGTTCGCTTAGCATAACACAAGTTCAATCCACCTACTTTCTATACCTATGCATTTAGACACCGAGCGCGAAAGAGTGGAGGTACTGCTTCGTCTTCTGGAGAAACAAAAGAAAGAGGCCAGTTCCCTGGCTGAAATGCACCGGCAGCTCCAGCTCACTGACCTCTCGGAAGAGCTAGATGCCATTGCAGATGATTCTGCGTACGCAATCGCTGCATTCAACCGTAGATTACAGCAGCGAAAACCAATTGCTTACACATTCCATTGGGCAAACATGCCTCAGTCAAACGTGAATCTGGATCTTTCATCTGAGACTCTGGAAGTGACGGAGGTGCGTCCGGTGGACTATCGCACACCGTCCGACTGTGGTGGGAATTTTGAGACATGTGTGCATCTCGAACTGGCATTTCCTTCAGAAAAAAGAACACAAAAGCTAAAGACCAACTGGGGCCGCTATATGAACGGCGTTCGCTACCTTCCATCACCCCTGCGATTCAACGTTGCGTCCACTCGGTCATCCTACGTCCAATTTCTAGAACTTAACAAACAACTCAAGGCTACGGTGAGCTGAGTACAGGTACCAAGAGTAGAGTGATATCTATCTCCACCGGTTCACATCCGAACTGTTGACACTCAATTAGCAATATTTCTCGGAATCCACGCAGAACTTGTAATATCGGGTAACTCAAGTTGGAAGTTGGTAGTTTAACACTGTAACTGATTAAAATTTATACACTGAATAGCAAACGAGTACCTGGAGGTTGCGCAACCTTACTTGAAGTATCTAGAAGCAACCGTTTCAGACAGTATTAAAAAGTGCGGACTATTTACTATCGGACAGCGCAATCTCTTACTAGCTGAACATTACGAAGGTTCGAAGGCGATATACTTCTTGTCCGCGGGCGGGTTCACTGCGCAGACGAGAAAAGTATACCTGTCTGTGGTTCCCTATATTCACCAACTTAGCCAGCCTGTTCTTTAAAGTCCAGCTAACGTCCAGTGCCCCATATTAACTGAGTAAACGAGTAGCGGTGAAAACGGAAATGCCTCGTCTTTGCAGTCCTTACGACCTATTCAAACTGAGACAACCTAGTGCTTGGGAAGTACCTGGCGTTGATTCTACTTTTAGGAAGTCTCAATCGAATGAACTGCATTTTATTGATGAAGACGCTACGACGACCACCAGAAAAGTACCGCACAACTGGTTACTACAAAGCAACTATGAGTCGCTTTTCTCGGTCTCCTCGACAAATTAACTAGAGTATGGTGATCAATGAAGGGTCTTCATGCAGTCTCGCCTTCGGTGCAGACAAACTACTCCGTAGTATATTTTGGTTAGTGACTTTATCCCGCATGCGGTCGCACAGTGTGGATGCGTGGCTTGTTAAAACGCACTGGATGTGTTAAATTCGCTAACCGAGTGCACGCATTTGTGAGCATAGATCTCACAACTGTGCTAACCAGGCACCAGCCAAGTGGCTGTTCGAGCTCCTCGTAGTTAATTTCCGCCTGTACAGAGAAAATCGCGTTGCTATTTTATGTTGGCGAAACCCCACCCTAATTTAATTCTAATAATCCTTGTTGTGTAAGAAAAGTCAAATGCACGCACTGAAGTAAAAAGCTCGCTCCGGCAAACCAACTACTGTAATCTAAGAAGTGCCCAACTACGTGAGTACATTAAGGTGTCGCGAAGAGAAGAATGAACTAACAGGGAAGCAGAGAAATATCTACTTATTTGTGTATGTCTAGGGTTGTGTGCACTTGTCTATCTGGACAAGCCGTCAAGGATGTTGACCGAATACACAACATCACGTCTCCGCTCAATCATGTAGTGTGTCGAAACTATATCGATTCGCTGGTCTTAATTTTCGACCCGTCCTGCGAAGCTGCGTGCTTTGCGTAGTTTCGTCAGTGAAAGTTGGTGGCACATGCGCCGTTCGTCTGCTACTTGTAAGTAACCTACGTGCATTGACTATGCCGCCACCTCCCAAGTGCCTGACCCACATGCGCGTTTTTCTTATCGGATCTGATAACGTGGGTTATCATTTTGATGCAGCGTTTACCTTCACATGCACGAATGAGCTGGGCTGCGGCGTAATAGTAAGCATCCACTAAGTGGTCTGATATCGATGGCGACGATCTAACTCATCGGAATTATTAGTTTTAGGAATCGGAAGTGCGACATTCAACTTTGTCCGAGGGGCATGTGTTCAGCCGGCGTTTTGTCTGTGGCTCGGTAGTGTGTGGTTCGGTAAGAAAATAGCGCTTGTAGTACTGCATCCTCCCGACCTGTACCAGATAATCGATTAATTTGGATACTCTCTTTCAAGAATCGATTGAACCGCTCTACCATGCCGTTTGCCGCTAGATTACACGGAGTTGTATGTGAGTATCGGATGGCGGGAGGTGGTAGGAACGAAAGAAACTCGTGGCTTGCAAACTGCGGGCCGTTGTACGTCAATACCTCCTCTGGTAGTCCGAAAGGGGGGAACATGTATTTCAGACATCGAATAATGCTGGTAGTAGTCACCTCTCCACATAAATGGACTTCCGGCCATTTACTGCAAAAGCATGTCACTACCAAACAATTCCCTTGATGCCTAGACGCTGAGCTAAATAGACTCATGATGTCAAGAGATATCTTGACCCATGGTCCCATAGGATAGTCAATAGGTTGTATAGGGAGGAAACCGACCTTGAACTCGTGTCTGCCCTTTGACCTAAAGGGCAGTCATGAACAAGATTTTCTATTTCACGTTGCAGAAGCATGCGTCCACTTTGCGTTTCGTACGAACGATACATGGGTGGCTTTCATGACCACATAGCGTGATCTTTTACATCAAGCTCCGAGGAGCCACACATTTTTCGCCGCGCATAGTGATGCAACATGTAGAATCGACGAAACTCGCTTGTGATCTTGTTATTTTGTGGCCATCTGTTTAGCAGAAACCCCTGAACGCAGAAGTGTGTCGTCTTCTTGAGTCGCCTTCTGGAGTTCTTCCTTAGTCAGCGCTGAGATTGGTTCATTACTCAGAGAAGACACCAGTAACGTCCCATTATCATCCTTAATATTTTCGGTTTCGTTGAGTGGCAGTCGTGAGAGCCCATCCGCTATCTGGTTTTCACTTCCGGGAAGAAATTTAATTTGAAAATCGTATGTTAACAGGCGTGCATACCAGCGATGTATCCGAAGTGACCTGATGCCTTTTGTTCCCAGAGTAAGTAAGCTCGTTTGTGCTGCATGGTTTGTACGAAGAGTAAAGGTTCTTCCGCTTCTTCCACTTTTCATAGGCCCAAACGCAGGCAAGGCCTTCTTTTTCTCCAACAGAGTAAGAAAGTTCTGGCGCCAACAAGTTTCTGGAAGTGTATGCAATAACGCTTCATGCCCCTTCTGAATTTGGGTTAGTATAGCACCCAACACAATAGTTGATCCATCAGTAGAGACAACCGTTGAGCAAGTCACGTCGAACATCGCCATGACTGATGTAGAAGCAATACAGGGTTTTATCTCGTCAAATGTCTTTTATTGGGGGGGGGGGGACTCCAACCAACTACATTTTTCGCCTTCGTCAGTTCACGCAGTGGCTCAGCAATGTTTGTGAAATGCTGCACGTAACGTAGGGTGTAGGAACACATACCTAGAAAATGCTTTATTTCAGTGGAGTTCTGTGGGCAAGGAGCTTCGGTGATGACACGCGCGTTGTCAAAACTCGGCTTCATATCGTCAGTTGTTATAATGTGGCCCAGGAACTCGATTTCACTAGCATTAAATTTTTAGTTCGCGAGGTTTAATCGGATGTTAAGATCATGTAGTGAACGTAACACAGCATGCAGTCGTGAAGTATGTCTTTCTGAAGTCTTACCGCATACACGGATGTCGTTCATAAACATTATTTGACCAGCTAAATTGGCAAACGAGTGAACCATAAGTTTTTGCTAAACTGCTGTGGCTGCACTCAAGCCCATTGGCAAGACAGTGTACTGAAAGAGTCCGTCCATCGTAAGAAATGCGGTCAGCGGTCAAGACTCCTTAATTAGAGGCATGTAAAAGAAAGCCTCCCTAAGGTCCAATATTAAAAAAATTGGACGCTGGCTAGTTTGACTAATAGTTCATCCGCGGTTGGAAGCACAAATATTTCTACTACGATTTGACGATGTAGGGCCTGCAGGTCATTTCATATTCTTACTGTACCGTCCTTCTTGAAGAATGTAACCATAGGGTGAACCCATTCGGAACAGTTAAGGGGTTCAATGAGATCATCTTCTAGCATTTGCCGTAATGATGACGAAACAGCCTCTCTGCTGGCCAAAGCAATTGGACATGACTGAGCATTAGCTACCGGTTTAGCATCCTGCTTCAGACATATGCGGTGAACAGAGGACGAGCGCGCCCTATTGATTGTTCAAACAGTTTCGGATACTGTATCTGTAGGCCAGATAGGTTAACCGCCATGATACGCATACGAGATAGTGACGGCGTGACTCCCAGTGCAACCATAACGTTGCGTCCGAGTAGGGGACGGTTATTCCCGCGGGTCAGGTACACAGCGACTAATGATTTCACGGCCCTAAGTTGCAAAACAAATTCCACAAATCCTCGTTTGTCTACCGGGGCCTTTGTATAACCATCAAATCGATAGGTTGAAGGATGGATAGGCATATCATGTAGATCAATGCCATAAAAGCTACTCGGTACTATAGTGATAGGAGAGGCTGACTCAAGTTCCATGTCAACATGTGTTGTTCTATCGAGTGCAATAACTGTACCAGTAACAATAGTAGGTCTAGGGAGTTTAGGCTCTGGACAAGTGGAACGATAGTTGGACACAATACATATGTTATCAATGGAAAATACATTTGCAGATGACTGTAACTGCTGACTAGAAACGGAAGCTGTAGGATGCAGCTGAGCGACGCGCACTGAACGACAACAACTGGCAAAATGTCCACACCTATCGCACTTTTTGTAATGCATTTCTAAGGTAGAGCACTTGGTAAAATTGGCTTTATGCTGTGGGCTACCGCAGCGGAAGCCTTTCTGTGGGGGTTGGGATTCGGTTAGCGAACGATGGATCTTAGCAAGCTCCTGTATGTCTGGGTGGGTAAGGAAACATCGCAAATGTTCGGCCGTACATGTTTTGAGGCGAGCTAATTCCACAGCCTTATCCCAAGTCAATTTGGAAACGTCTTCGGAACTTAGACGTGCCCGAATTTGGTTATTGATGACTTCACTAAGCAACTACTGCACTAGCATGACGCTTTCGATTCTATTTTTCCGCATGGTTGGATACTCGCAGGGTTGTACACCGCGAATGAGGCGCTGTACAGAACTTCCTAGAGTTTCCGATGGTTCCTGTGTGAGTCGGCCGAATTTGAGGCAAGCCATGAAGAGGTTTGTACGCTGGCCCCATGATTTGTCTAGCATATCTAGTGTTTTCGTTAAGGTATCCTGAGACTGGAGCTCCCAAGCATAAAATTGACGTTGTCCCGCATCACCGAGTAGGTGTCTGACAAGCTTCAGTTTCTGGCCTTCTGTGTAGTTAGTAGCCGCAGGCAGTAGGT